CCCCCCCCCCCCCCCCTAAAATAATATTCTACTTCCACGCAAAACATCAGAAGCAAATCGAAAACCGACTCGAAAATTCGTCAGTGGCGTAAAAGAATTCAGTTGCCTGCAATGAAACAAATATTTTCGGATCTCTGTTCACTAATTACTGAAGGAATATGAATCACAGCAATCGAAAACAAAAAGCAATTAAAAATTGAAATCTATCTACAAGTTCATATTCATGAAGAAGTAGGATGCTGTGAAGATTCGAGGAAATGTCTTCGAGATGAACGCAGAAACAACCGTTCTGTCTAAGTGATAGTCAAGGAATAAGTAAAAGTTCATAAATCGGTGAATACCGTGAGTTTTGAGATGGGACAAGTGCACCGAGTTTAAACTCCCATTCCACGTCTTATGCAAGGAAATTAAGAACTTCATGGAAACAGTATGAACGGAACAACTTCAAGCATTTCAGCCATCAATAGCATGAGAAGTGTTTTGGCCTATCACGGAAGAAGTATAACACCGATTGTCTCAAATTCATAAGGTCTCGAAGAATTGTTAAGAAGTAATATTTTCAGAAATTGAAGAAATTAAAAATAATAAATTTATATTGTACAATGCAAATATTACAGATAACACAAAATCAATCATCTGAACCCAGAAAAATTTTTTTCTTGATGAATTTGACATTTAATAGAAGCAAGATCAAACAATTTTGCACTCATTAGTCTTAAAATACAAGCAGAAAATAAATGCGACCTTATTTCCACAAATTAATCATTCATTAAACGATTCATTAATCTAACAATGACCGTATTAAAAAATTGGTTAAGAAAATGAATTCAAGTTCGTACTCAATAGAAGCATGAAGCAGACCATACTTCAGTGACAAATTTTCGGATAGAGGAGGCGCGATCGAATGAGCGCAGCGCAAGTTGCTTTCTGTCATCGGTCAAGCTTAGGGTTTGCACGGGATCCCGGGATTACAGTTCCGATCCCAATCCCGGGATTTGAATGTTGAAAAATCCCAGGATTTCGAGATTTGATAAAACAGGTCAATTTGTGTCAATTTTGATAGTATGTCTATCTTGAAGCAAGTATTAATCATTCCCATCTAATTTATGTGCAGTTATCTTCACTGTTTGCCCTCTATCATTGATGTTCAGCTAAGGAAATAGACGTAGTTCGGACGAATGATATGATCAACAACAGCTCGATGAACTTTTACGTAACATTTCATTGAATATTCAACTGATTATTCTGCTCTTCATTGGTTTATATCACGCTCACCCGGATGTATTTCTATGGAATAGACTAACAGAGATAATTAAATTTTCTAATAAAAACCAAGAGCAACAAGGTTCAATGAAATTTTGAGTCGTTTCCTCCCACAAGATTTACTCGGCTTCAATATCCCATCTGTTAATTCAACTGCATGTTCCAAAGACTGCAAGTCTTTTTACTTCGCTATTTGGAAATGTTTTCATCCGATCGAAATGTACGTAAGTTCTCACTGAGTTCACTCATAGTGAGAGTTCATTACCGAAGTGAGCAAAATTGTTCCAAGCTTGAATATCAAGTACATTTCCATGATTTTTGATCGAAATTATCAAAAATGTAAGTGCTCGATGGTTCGATGAAAATCCATTGCGGATATTTTTTTACCTTTTTAGATAAACTTCGAACTTTTGATTACTTCGAAATTCAAATTGCATGCGGTGCATTTCTTCCGCAAAAAGTCGAAATTTCCGGAATGGCAGAATTCAGCTGACGTTAATACTGAGAGAAAATGGACTTGAAGCATTGCAAATAAGTGTTTGAGAATCAAGAATTTCATATTCACATGCAAGTGTACTGTTATTAGCTTAGACCCGAGATGACAAGATGCCTTAGCATAGAACATGCAGTATGCCTTTGCGGCATGATCATTGGCATCATTATATGAAATATTAATTTGAATTTGAATACTTAGTTCCTTGGATTTGTCCAATAATTTGTTGAATTAGCTCCTTTCTGATTAATAATGAACATATTAGTTCGAAAAAATGTGTTTAAACATATCCCGCATCGATATTTAAATAATTGTTCGACCCGGGATCAAAAATCGATCCCGGGATTGAAAAATCGTCGGGATCGGGATTGCAAACCCTAGTCAAGATCAATGCCTTGCTTTCAGAAGTAACAGCGTCGGAATCCGGATTCACAAAAACCGACAATGGAAAGTGTTTTTGAGGCTAACCATTGACAACGGATCACACAATGCACTCCTTTCACATTTAGAGATCGCTCTTTCGCAAGACGATTTCATTCCCAACACAACGGGTGCTCCATCCGTGCAACACCCATAAACATTATTCCAATGGAGGTTTTTTGATCCAAAAAAAATCAAAAAAATGCCAAAAAAGGTTTTTCCACGACGTCTGCAGCTTTCATGGTTGCCTCCAATCTCGAGCAAAACAGAAACTGTTTCTTGAGTGGATCTATTTTGAGAACATAAGGCAACTGCAAAAATGACGACACGTCAGTTGATTCATCAGGCTGAATTGAAAATAAGCCAAAAGAGTGTTGGCATGAGCGAATGATGTTTGGATTCCCAAGTGAGGAAACACCGTCACAATCGCGTTCCATCATAACGTAACAAATCCATGAAACGTTATTTACCACTTCC